ATTCCATCCATTACAGTAACCCACTTGTAACCTACTGAACAGCAGAGCGACATCCACTTTMCCGCTTTTTTATTATCAAAATTTCATTATATCAGTATAATTGTTAACAACAAAATAATTAAAATATTTTTACTGTTGTGATTGTCTGTGTGTGGGTGCAAAAGAAAAATGTTCGTGGGTGCAACTGCACCCTCATTCCCCCCCTAGATGCCGCCTATGCATATTATTATTATAGTAATAGTTAATATATATACTATATACACTATACACGCGTTGAAATAAAATATGTAATATTTAAGTCTCTGACCTGTTTATTATTTTTCAGCTCTCAGTCTTACTGTCGTTACTATATTATAATATAGTTTAATAAATTATAATAATATACAAACTAGAACAACGAAAATTTCTAATATTATCACTATTTATAATAATGTAGTTGTTATACGATATATCTAGTATACACTATGGTATATTACATACAAATTATTATATCAACCTCGAAAACGGATATTTTGTATGGATATATTATATTATCGTCATGTAAGAATAAAATAAAATATATTATAATTTCTTGTTTACACAAAACGAGAAAAGTTTGCTACGGGGAGAACCTACGTTAATTGAAAGTACCACATTAATTTGAATAACCAATGGCCTTATTGTCCGTAGACATATTTTATCATGTAGGTAGGTACTTACTTATAAAAGCGAATCAACGTAATTAACCCGTTGGAAATGAAAACATAATCATTTTTCTATTGTTTTCTAGCAGTTAGTATTCAGCGTTGGTTTTTAACATACTTAACTTATTAAAAACAAACTATATTTTAATTTGCAGTAGAGTTGCAGTATAGTATTTGAATACTTTTTGGTATTTCTAATGAGCAGCGTGACACTGGCATGCTTGAAATTCATCTTAAAAACTACAGTACCTAGTAAATGTTATAAAATCTGTTCACATTTTGAACCACAATATTTTAAAATGTATTCAACTCTCAATACCTAACTGATAAGATCCAAAATCACTTTGTGAGTTTTAAAAATACGTCATTTTCTTTATGAATTTATTCCGGAATACTAAATACTTTTTTTTTGTCCTACCTTTGTTTGCCAATTTTCAATGTTTTCGTTTTTATATTGGTATTTTTAATTTATTTTCTAAAATAATATTTTTTAATGGTTCTGAAAAGACATACAAAAAGATTTCATCAAATAAACAAATTAGAGACAAAAACTTATCTAATCGGCCCCAAATCTCGAATTCTCAAACTTATTACAATTTGACGTATATAAGTATAGATATTGATTATTTAATTTAAATATTCTAAAATTTTTATTAACTTTTAAATATTTAAATATAAAACGTACAGAACTAAAAAAATTAATATTTTTATTTATTAATTCAAATACTTTTGTAATGAAGCATTCAAATACAATACTGATACGAGGCATTCAAACACTTCGTATTCTGAATACATTTTGTAAAGTACCTACTCAATCTTGGTGATTTATCTCTGTATTATTGTTTGTATGAATAAAATAAAAATAAAATCGTACACAAAATAGTAAGAATTCGTTAACATAATGAAATAATGCATGAATAAAATCATAATCAATTCTGTTTGATATAAATGAGAAATGTTTTAGAAAAATAATATACATCATGCATATAATGTTTAACACATATTTTAGTTCAAACCGTCGAATGTCTGTATAGTGTGTTTTCGTTAGTATTTTTTTGACCAAAGAAAATATAATTAATATGTCTGTTTTTGTAATCTCAACTCTCAAGACAGCCATTATTTATATGAAACTCGAATAGTCAGATAAGTTGCGTATAATTACTATGAGAATTGAACGAGAACAAACGTTTGTACACAATGATTTTATATTGTAGCTCAAAAGGAAATATTTTAATCGTATATTATTATTTTTTTTTTTTATTAATGATACCCTCGGCAACATGGGCCATTGTATATTATTAATCAAATTTATAAATCAAAAGTGTGTTTGTTTAATTTAATTAATAATTAGATTTTTATTTGTGTAGGTACATTAATAATTTGTCCTTCAATCTAATAACTTAAATAATCATTCAATATTATTCAAATATATTATCTATCTAATAAGTTACAATCCTGCACAAATTAATGATTTGGCGGAAAAGTCAATCCATGGAATAGGGAAAGATGGAAAGATTATCATA